CAACCAGAGGCTGACGGGAGAAAGGGCAAGAAAGGGCGAAAAAGGCATGCAACCTGCAGGTTTCAGTGCACACAGCTCTCTCTCAAGTCCTTTGGGGAGCGTTTTTTGTAAAAAGTTTGCCCACTTGAGGGCGATGTTGTCTTCTGGAGGGGTGGAACCAAGGTCTGTTTCCCAGCTGGTACTCAAGTTTGTAGACCTTCCCTGGCACCTGGGTACCAGATTCTGCAGGGGTGATGAGGCTTCCCCAGAAGGCTGCTTGGGTGTGGGCTGCCACCATTCCTGGTGCTCTAGTGCTCAGCGCCCTCAGCCTCTGGGGGCTCCTGTCTCAGGTTTTGAGGAAGGTCCTGTGCTTCCTCAATCTCCTCCTTGGACTCTGTCTCTGTACCTGCTGCATCAACATAGGGCCTGATACCAGGTACATGCTGTGAGCAGGGGAAGGGCTTGTAACATCCCACACAAGTTGATACAAGAGTGCACTTGGATCCTTTCCAGACAGGAACATAGGGAAAGATCACATGCACTGAGCTGTCCCTTCTGGCTACAGTCTAGGCCCAGAAAGGTCTGGCCCACTGCTGGTGCTGCTCAGCTGCCCGGGCCCAGCTGTGAGTGGTCTTGGAGTGAAGATTGCGGGCAGCTTATTCTGTCTGTAGCTTTATTCTCTCTTGGGATTTCCCAAAGCAGAAGCCTCTGTGGAGTCATATTAAAGGACTCAAAATTAAGATAATTAAACCAGCCAGCCATTCTTGGAATGGATGTCAGCCTATCTTCAAGTGAGTCTAGTTTCAGCAAACTTGCTGAGAGAAGGCTGAGCCCAGTCAGGGGCAGGTGCTGAGGGTTGTTAAGTCTTTCTTGAATTTAACACAGCTGGGAACTTGAAGGCGAGCCTGGGGCATAGCTGGCCCCAGAGATACCCTTTAGTTCTGGTTTAAGAGTGGAAAGGGAGATGCCCAGGGATTATGAACATTCATTGCCTTATGCTTTCTTCTTGCTCTGTCTCCGTGTCGTAAGCCCCCAGAGAGCCCAGGGCTGCAGGGGCTATAGGTAGTCATAAGATGGTGGAGGCTAAATCTCTGAGGAAAGAGAACTTGCTCTTCAGTCAGAGGAGCCCCAAGAGGTGGGGACATACACACACACACACACACACACACACACACACACACTGCTTTTTCCTCTTCTCTGTTCTGCCGCTGGGGCCTGAACTGGGGCACAGATCCAGAAATATGTGACAGAACAGGGTGACTGCTCCAAGTTTCTGGCTGGAGGGCCAAAAAGGGGAGGCTTAGAGTCTGGAAATTCTGGGGAGATTCAGGAAAAAGAATTCAGGAAACCCTTAGAATTGCCTGTGAAGCCCGAGGGAGAGGGGCTTGCCTTGGGCCTGAATTAGCATACTAACTGCTTTAAAACTGAGGAGACCGTGACCCAGTTCCCAGACTGCTCCCTGGGAGATGCACCATGCACTGGAAACGGAGAAGGGTGTAACTTCTTTGAAAACTGAACTAGCATCAGAATCACAGCCATGGACAATGTGATAGAGTGGACCTGACCAAATTAAGCACTGCTATAACAAAAGTATCAATATTTTGGGTAAGACTTAAATAAGATCTTAAGTCTAATAATACAATCAAACTGTCTAGGCTAATAATCCAAAATTACCAAATATAGAAAGAACCATAAAAATTTCAATTTTCCTTGAAAAAGACAATCTACAGACACCACTGATGTGATTTCACAGATGTTGGAATTATCAAGAACATTAAAGTTAGCTGTTATAAAGTGCTCAGATGAGTCAGTGCAAGCATGCTGAAAATAAAGGTTAAAACAGAAAATCTTAGCAAATAAATAGAAGATATAAATGGAAATTTTAGAACTGAGAAATGTCAACACCATACAAGAAACTCACTAGGTGGGCTCATTGACAGAATAGAAATGATAAAGATTCAGTGAACTTGAAGACAGGTAGATAGGAACTAGCCAGTGAGAAAAGAATACACAAGCCTTTGAGGTGGGTGAGGAAACAACAAAAGGTCTAATTTTCGTGACCTCAGACTCCCAGCAGGAGAGAAGACTGTGGTGCTCTTGGGACCCAGGGCAGACAAAGTGGCCGCCTGAGGTCCAGGTTCCCACAGCGAGGAGAGGAGGCGCAGGAAGTCTCTGGACATTGGGCCTGAGTCTGGGGTGGGCATAGCCACCAGCATGTCCTTACCTCCACCACCGGCGGTGGCCTCTTCAGAGAAATTTACAGCCTTGGTAAGAGGTCGTCAGGGGGCAAAATGCTAGACATAAGTGGCCACATAGGTGACCAACCTCGGCGGCTGTCCAGATCATCCCAGGACCGACAGGGATGTGTCTGAGGTAAACGTGACTGGAGAACGAGTTCTGTGGCCTCGCATGGCTCTGTCTCTGTGGAGCACAGCCACACAGCTGCAGCGCCGTCTACAGATGGTGCAGGGGGCTTGGAGAAGGGGGAGAAAAATACCTGCAACCCTATGACCCCAGCATGTTTCTCTTCATTTTTACTTTATCTAATGAAAAGGAATATGACTCTAATGTAACGAGGGGGTCTTTCACTTGACATGGTTATAGTTATTCCCCATGATTGGGGCCATCCTCACACACATATTAAATAACTGCTTAATAGTGCAGTTCTCTGACTGGATGTACATTCATTTCTTTAACAATCCCCAGACTGTGGAACTCTTCAATGGTTCCTATTTCTTTGATGTTTGTGATTTTAAGCAAAAAAATCAATGTTCTTCCTTTTCTGTTTTTGACATTGCTCTATGCTCTATCCTTTCTGGATTTTAACTCCAGCAAAAGAAATAGGACCCTGTGTGTGCATGTGCGAGTGTGTATGTGTTCCCTGCAACTCTCACTTATTACTCTAAAGTATATTTTTCTAATGGGTATTTATTCCAGGTGACTACAGATAACAATTTTAATTTGCAGCTTCCAAACAGGTCTCCAAGCCCCTTACTTGCCAGAGGGTGGCTCCAAGTTACCCCATGTAGAGGTTCCAGAACCAACTGCCAATCCAGGTGCTGCAGCATGTGGCCAGGAAGCACCCCACTGCCAGCTTCCTCTTGGAAAAGAGGGGGCCAGGGACTGCAAGATGAAGCTGACGCTTGCAGGCTTCATGTGCAGGTCCTGGCCCAGAGGAGGTCAGGAAGAGTTCTTTTCTTTCCTTTTCCTGCTTCAGAAAAAAGACAGTGAAAGAGTTCGCAGTGGTAAAGGGGGCTCTTTCCAGTGGAAAGCTGGCATTTATCTGATGATACTGACATGTGTGTCTACTGCGGCCATGTCCCCTGAAGAGACAATTCATTTCTGCCCTGGATGACAGTATGGCAAGCGTGACCGTTTGCTGACCTACAGACGTGAACCCGGGCGGGCCTGCTGGCATACTCATTTCAGCACCTGTGAGTGTCCACTCTGCTGGTTCTCCTTGGAAATGACTGTGACATCTACTGCTCTCTTTATGGAAGTTAAATGGCATCTTTGATAGGTGTTTATTTTGGATGTGCCTGAGTTATGGCTCCATCTTTGAAAATGCTGTTAACACCCAATGCCCTGATGACTTATACATCATTAATTCTTACCAGCCCTTCATCATCCTCACTGATTTTACATTAAATTCTAAGCCACTCATCCACCCTCACCCCCAACACACAAACAATACACCCATAGGCGCGCTCCGTCTTACCCCTGTATCTATGCACTCTCCCTCACACACTGATTAAAAAGAAGTGTTTTTTGCAGGCTATGTATATGTGTGTTATACCATAAGCATAGTTTGGGCTGCCTGAGAGACCAGCCTGTCGGGAGAAATTGAGCTAATAACCCAGGGGGAGCGAAAGAGCATGTTGCTGATGTAGAGTTGAATTTTACACTGAATCCTAACTTCAGCTCAAGTGAAATAACTGCATTGATCTGGCTTCCTCTTTGTAATCAAGGAAGAAGCATGAACTCCAGGGTAGGGGCCCTCCACCACCTGTTATCTATTTACTAATAAATCTCTTTCCAGTGTCTGTTTTTGGGGCCCCATATCCTGCTGCATCAAGCTGCCTGAGGGTTTTGCTGGATGAGAAACCAAGATTCCTGTAAGCTTTAGCCAGAAGGCCTGGAAAGACTGCACCGTGGGTGACTGGTATTAGGTCTTCTCTGGGTGACCCCAGGACCTGTCTGCTTTACTGGCCCTCCCCACCCCCAGACAGAGGGATTGGCCCATGCACTGATAAATACCAGAGCCAAGCCCCTCAGACCCACTGTCTTTTTCCTAGACCCTCACAACTCCAGGTGCTGGTGCGGGACTAGCAGCATTGACATCACCTGGGAACTGCCTCAGACTCCAGTCCAGACTAGCTGGGTCAGAATGAGCAGCTGAACAAGAGTCCTTGTCTGACTCATTTGTGTGCAGGGATGAGGTGCTGCAGTGGAGATCACATGGACTTAGGAGGCCTCACATCTCTTACTCTCGTTAGCCGGAGGACCGGGCCAGTCACTTTCACCTTTCAGAGACTGCTTCCCCCCCTGTGAAGGAGGACAACCACCTTAGAGCCACATGGGGAGATCATGTGCTGCTCCACAATTCCTTTACAAGTCAAGAATACCCCGCAGCAAAGGCAGCTGAGAAGCTCTGCAGGATGGACGATGGAGGATGCCATCACGACATGTCTCCCTTGGGTTTCACCCAAATGAGAGCTCATGCCAAGCAGGCAAAGGAACCTGGGAGATCTAATGGGGGCCCAGGAGTCAGGGTGGCCAAGAATAGGCCTTGGCGCTGCCACAGGGAGCCCTCTCCTAGGTCACCCTGACTGCAGCCCGGAAGTCAGCTCTATGCCTGACCCCCAGATTCAAGCCCCTCTGGGAGTGTCTACTGCAGGGGTTGCTCCTTGGGTGGCAGATGTCAGTCTCCCCTCCCTGAGGACTAAATAAGGCCCTTGGCATTCCACAGACACAGAGGATGAGGGGGGTAGAATGAAATCACTTTAATAGCACAGCAACACTGTAGGACCAAGAGTCACAGACAAGGGAAACTTTTTGTCTTCCGATTGTACAATTACTTCTGAGGTGCGTGGTGGTGGTGGACAATCTTACAGATTTTTCACATTGAGAACTTAATAAATACTTAAAACATCAAACAGGAGAGACCACGAGTTAGGAGTGTGATTGTTTTCTTATTCTGCCCTCTCCTAGCCAGGAGGTGGCTTCCGGTGGCACTGACGGGCGCGGTACCCTAGGAGGGGTATTCATACTCCTCGGCGCTGCGCCGGCCAAAATCCATCCAGCCCATGTAGTCCCGGTCACTTATCCTGTGGCTGGGGTCCAGGCTCTGCAGGTTCTTAACAATGGACATTCGACCAGAAGGAGCTGCGAGAGGCAGGGAGGAAGGAAACAGGGACATTATAGCTAAAACCACACTGGCTCAATCCGTAAAGGAGAAAAAGGAAGACGCAAGCAAATGTTTCTGCACATTTTTAAGGTCTCAGAGCTATCAAGTGGACCTGCTGCACTGAAATCTAGGGCGGGAGAAGCCGCGTGTCTGTGTCACCGTGAGAGGGCAATGCTGCCAGCTGCCTGTCATCAGTAGCTAGGTGATGCATTATTACCTCTAGTCCTTCAAAGCTGGAAGGACCCAGCTTTTCCCTCAGGGTGTTTTCTGTGATGTAGTTGGCCCCAGAAGAAAGCAATCAAGCATCTCCCCTACACTTCCCGGTTTCTATCTACACTCCTTAACAGCTCCGAGCATACCTACCTCTTGTTAAGATAATGCAATGATAACATTTTGATGTGGAAATGGTTAAAAACCTGGTATCAACTTTGCTAGATATTTGCTAGGTAAGTATTATTTTAAAATTCTTCATTTTTATGAAAAAGCTTCTTTTTCAAATATAACATTGAGAACAAAGTGCACTGACAGGTAACAATCTTAACACCTCTATAACACCCAGAGCTGGGTAGGCTGAGAGCTTCCTTTAATTCAGCCATTTTCCCTGAAAGCCAACAGGTGAACATGAGATGGGCTCTTTGGGATGGGTGTGAAGTCTCTTAGGAATGGGCAACATTCATGCTGAGTGAGTTGGGCTTGGAGAGGAGGAGCTGCTGGCGGTCCCGCCTACAGTCGGGGAGCAAGGAAGCGGTCTCTGGGGCACGCAGTCAGTATAACACCTTCTCTTGTGCCAACTATGGTGAGGAGAGGAACCTCAGGGGCTCCACTGGCAAGTGGGCATGATCACAGGGCTCCCATGCCCCACCTGCCATTTTCTGCAGGCGGCTGCCCAGCCAGCTCCTGCCCAAAGGCTGGGTAGAGCCAGACTGTCTTGTCTCTTGATAAATGACTGCAGGGGCAATTACTCTTTCTGGAAATCTTTCGGAAACTTAGTGATGACACCACCCTTTCTCCCTCTCCCGTCCCGGGCTTCCCAGCTTTGGAACTCAGAGCCGACCCAGCAGACCTCTCCAGCTTGTACAGTGTAGTGGTTCCACACCTTTCTGGTGAATGAATAGTCCTTGGTGTTACCAAAACGTTTAGACCAGTTTACCCCATGCAGTTGCAGGGAGCATGACTGACCTCCGGCAGGCTGCTGTAGAGTGCCCACTTCGAGGCTGGGCACAGCTCAGAGTTCCAGCTAAGGGAGAAAAAGTGGCGGCTTCCACAGGAGTGAGCAGCTGCACTGTTCATGGGTGGGGGCCACCGGGCTGGGTCATGGGAGCCGCATGTACTCCCCACATGTCTCCCCATTCCACACACAACTCTGTGCTGAGGTTCCATGCATCTCCCAGTCCTCACTCACCCGTTGACCCCCAGGGTTGACAGAGTAGGAATTTGCAACCAACTTATGGAATTGAATTCAAGGACCTGGCTCCTTAAGCTTTAGGGCTCCAAATGCGCAGTGCAATGCGAGCTGAAGGCTCCAGACCCTTGGGGAGGGCAGGACCGAGTGGGACTCTCAGCCCTGCGCTGCCTAGATGCAGCCCTCCAGGCGGCCAGCTCCACTCTCACAAGGTGTCTGTAACAGAACTTACTGGGCACGACTGTTGGGAGGACTGAAAGAACAATAGATGGCTTTGGCAGGCATAGGGCAGGTGTGCACTAGAGAACTGCTTCTCAGCTCTTTGAAAGATCTGCAGACACTTTCTAATGATAAATTCTTAAGCCTGCCCAAAGAGTACCTTATCTTGCTTAGAATTCTGAAGCATGATACATACGATAGTTGAGTAAAAATCATAGCCTCCTCAAGCTCAAACAAATTACGGTTCTAATCCAGGCGTGACACACCAGTAAGGTAAGACAGCCTCACGGGAAAGAAGCCCATCGCCTGCCCTCCCTGCAGTGTTTGCTGTGGTTTATTGTCCAGCTGTCTCGGTCCAGCTTAGAACACTGCTCCATAGCCACGAGTTCACTGTCAGGGTCATCGGGGTATTGTGGGTCAAAAACAACCTGTTCTGGTCCAAGTCCTGCTTCCTAAGGTCCCTAAGATGGATGAAACTCCTCTGAATCCCACCAGCAGCTGGAAGGGACACAGAAGAGCTGCAGCCCCTTCCACCTTTCTGGAAGGGACAGAGCTGTCCAGCAGCCACTCAGCTCGTGAGCTGCAGAATCTCCTTATTCCTGGAGAAAGACTGATGCTCAGAAAACAAGTTTGTTCAGTCCCACTGCAATTGGGACCATCTCTCCAAAGGCAAAACAAAAATGTGCCACTTATCGGGTAATCACTTGAATTTACTGGCGGGGAATCAAAATTGCTCTTGATTCTTTCCCCCTATCGCATACTTTTGGGGAAACAGACAAATCTTTTTAAACTGTTGCCAGACCTCAAGCCCTCTCTGCCTTGATGGCTTCCTTGCTAGAGATTTCCCGTGTCGTGTCGGTCTCTGTTGGCTCCTGGTTCTTTGCATTTCCAGTCAGGGCGTGTTCAGCGAACCCAGCCTTTTGATAGTCATAGTCAGGAACTATCTTTTAAAGTCTTAATAAGATGGTCTTGAATTTAAGCAGTAGCCTATGCCAAAAACTGGTTCAAAGAAAGCTTTTTTAAAAGTTTCCCCTCGAGGAGCATGGAACGAAGGGGCAGGAGTCCACCGAACTCTGGTAGAGGATTGTTGGGGTTTGGTAGTTGGTGTGAGGTGACAACATACATTTCTAGAGGAGTGGACTGATAACCCCTATAACGCGTAGTGTTGTAAACCAACATTACCTCAATAAACATAATTTAAAAATAAAAGATTCCTCTTACTAAGTTGTCCACGTTGGCTCTCCGTTCTCTACAAAGCACCAGGTTTTCAAATAGCACTATCTGGTGGAGAATAACTCAAGCAAAGAGTGGAAAAACCTTTTCACTAAACGTGTCCCGTTTCCTCCACCAGCCAGACCTCAGAGAAGAGGGCTGGAGGGGCGAAGCCAGCGAAGCCTGGGAGGCCCACGTACCTTTCCGTGCCTGCTGCACGTATCTGGCCAGCAGCGCCCCCAGGTGTGCTCGCGGGTCGCCGTCGGCCCTCTGCACAGCCCTCAGCTGCCTCCGGGGCGCTTCCTCTGGCCGGTGCGCCCCGGGGTCGACAGGCTCGGCCGCGGGCGCCGGCTGCGCCAGGGCGCGGGCCGCCAGCACCGCCATCAGCACGCACAAGCACACGCCGCTGTTCATGGCTGCGAAAAGAAAAAGGGAGGGGATGAGCGAAAAGGTGGGGCATCGGCGGAGTCCCGGTGGGTCAGGGCACCCCGCACGGAAAAGACTTGTTGCAAATGCGCCGCCGCGCTCCAGCGCCGCCGGGCTGTGCAGGCGTGAGCGCTCCTCACCCGAGCCCAGAGCCCGCAGCACGCGCGTCTACGCGCACCCCGACTGCTTTTTGGGGGAGACGCACCGGAGCCCGGGGCTGGACCACGGCCTGTCTTCTGCTTGTTTCGCAGAAGGGACATCTTCCGACTTCCTTTAGTTTGAGCAACTGTTTGTATAAAACCTCTATTCTAACTGGGAAAGCAAGTGGGTAGGGAGAGTGAAATACTCCGAAAGGAGGGTCCAGGGGAGAAAGGAGACCCTTGAGGGAAGGTAACCCTTTTCCAGAGAGTCAAGAAGAGGTCAGGTCAGCAGAGAAAAATGGGGGAATAAAGCCAAGCACAGTTTAAAAGGAGGGAGCAATAAAAAAAGCCTTATCTGTAAAGTTTCTTCAAGAAGTTTTTGGGAATTGGCGATCAACCACAAGTAAAACACAGACAGGATTTTAAAAAATTAAAAATATGCACTGTGCCCATGGTCACTGGCAAAACTGCTGTATCTTTTTTTAATTGAATACATTTAACATGTAACATTTTGTAAATTTAAGATATACAGCATGTTATTTTTAGTTACATATGAATATACATATATTGCACAGACTTAGAACTATGCTTGCCTATGTATCAGTATTTATCCCTTACATAATTATGGTACACTATTTTCTATAATTCACTATCCTGAGCATTAGACCTCTATGGTTTAGATCCACGAGCAAATAACACCCTTCACTTTTCTACTTGCAAAGCCCTGTCATTTTCTGCAGCATTTAGAAATTTTAAATCTTAAAACTTCTTGGTAGTTCATTGGAAAAGATTGCAAAGTCCCCCGCCCTGCCTGTGTAACATCTATCAAGCCCCAAATTGCAGTCTAATCCTAGCAAACAGATATTAGCGCTAGCGCGTAAGAGAAGAACAAAGCAGGCTGTAGAGGTATCCACAGCAGGCTGTCCACCAGCCCTCACTGTTATTACTGACTTGAGGAAACGTCGTTCGAGCTTTCCAAAAGAAGACACGGAAAACAGAAAAATAAAATGGAAGGGGCGCCAAATGGAAGATGGCATTCTTCAACGATACCTGACCCTCGGCTTCTTGTCGGAGAGCAAGGGGTACCTACCTGTGCAGTAGGACCAAGTGGCTTCGGGTTTCTGCCGCTCAGAAGCAGAGGCGCCCAGCCAAGTTCAGGGCTGGCGGGCGGCAGCGTCTTAAATAGCCCCGCCCGGCGCCGGCGCCGGGGGCCAGTCAGCTGTTCACCCGGCGCTGACGCAGACCACAGCAACACGTGCTGGGGGCCGCCACTGGGGCGGCTAGCCCTGGAGGTGGCTCCTGGAAGAGGGGGGGCAATGGCCCGTGGGGTCGGCTTACTCCCCCCACCCCCAAGAGGGTGCCGGGTCCTGCAACTCCCTCTGTCCCAAGAGCTTCTGCCCCCAGCTCTGTGGAGCTGGTCTCCCTGGCCCTGGTCAGTGCGGTGCCCTCTAGGGTGGGAGCCAGGTGTGGGAGTCTACTTCGGGATGGAGAAGCTGCGGCTTTCGGACAGGAGGGGCCGGAAATAACGAGGTGGGGTGGGGGTGGGTTGGCCAAGTGTGACCCGAGATGGAGGGAGCATGGCGGGCAGCCCTGTCTTCCTCCTGTGAGAGAGCTCCTCCCCTGTCAGTTACCGACAAGTGGCGCCAGTGAGTGTCCCAAAGACTTCCCGCACCCCACTCACTCCCAGCTCCTCTGAGTACCTGAACTTTGGCGCCTGGCCCAGGCCCAGGCCCCTTCAGAACCCCAGTTACAGGACTTTGAGAATAAGGACCCCTATTGAAGGTGGGACTGGGGAGGAGCCGGCCCAGCCCCAGGGGGCTGGGCTTGCACTGTAGTGCCCAAGGCCCCCAGCAGGGCAAAGCCAGGCATGATGTTGGTGGTCTGCTTCCATCTCCCCGGAGTCTTTAGGGTGAACGCTTGCAGCCATTGCGGAATTTGCTGGGTCTCTGCTAAGGTCCTGCCAACTCAATTCGACAATGGCAAATTGAGGCACTGAGGAGACCAGCGCCTTTCCAGGGCTCCCCTGAGGCTACTCGCTGGCTCTGGGCACCAAGCCTCTCAGCCTTGGGGGTGGGGGGTAGAGGGGTGCTCTACTGTCCTGCGAGACTCTACTGCCAGCTGGCACCGTGGTGGCAGGACTTGGGGGATGCTTTTCAGGTCATGGCTGCTGAGGCTCCTTGGTGGGGAGAGGGCTTCAGTTGCCTCCCCCCCCTTTCTAGGCCCCAGAGGCTGTGTGTCTCTGCCATCCAGAGGCGACAGTTTTGGATCAGAGCAGCGGATTTGAATACTTTCCAGAGGTGTTTTCAATGAAGCTGCTAAGTTTTGTATAGTTTGGTGGGGAGACTGGTTTCGTTTGTGACTGTGGTCAAGACATGTTTGGAAACACACTACGGAGTAGGGCTTGTTTGAACACCCATAGTTTCTGACAGGTGGGTTTGGGGTACAGTCCAGGAATTGGTGTTTTCCTGGGGGTGCTGCTAGTCTCCTGACCACACTTTGAGAACCACTCCTATAGAACTGCCCAAATAGACCAGTTGCTACCCTCCCCTCCACCTTTTTAATACTTATTAAACATCCACTTTACTTCAGGCTTGGAGGTTGCCGTATGAAGAAGGGCTAACATCACAATGGAGGAGCAGAATAAACAAGTCAACAAACCCCCAGGTGATGGTGATGCATTTAGGAACAGGGGTGGAGGGGAAGGGATGGTGGGAGATGATCCCAGAGAAATATTTTGATGAGACAGTAAGGAATGAGGCTGGAATTTTAGAAAGAGGTGTTGTGGTGTGGAAGGTGTCCTGAGCAGAGACCTATGTCAGAGATTGGAGACCAGGTCCCAGAGAGGGGAGCAGGGGAATCCAGTCAGTTAGATGTAGAAGAAGCCAACATAAAGCCTTTCGTTACTAGCAGACATCATAGCCGCTAATATTATCCTCTTGGTGTTTGAGGCTTGGTGACCGCGGCTGACCTCCCAGGTTGAGAGGTGAGGTTGCAGGTGCAGGATTACCCACGATGGGGTTGAGGAGAAAGCCAATTCGGAGTAGGAGCTGAGTAATGAGTCCAATGTGGGCCTGAGTCCCTGAGGGGTGTGTGTGGATGGTCCAGGTGCAGGAGGGAGCAGGCTGGCACTTGAGCTCTGAACTCAGAGCACAGGGGCACTGGCGATGGGCCAGGGTCTTTGACTTGTGGGTAGGGACTGCCGCCTGGGAGTCAGGGTGTGTCTAGCAGGGTGGCTTGGGGACCTCTAGGAGGACCCCTGAGAAGTGACAGCAAGAGTAGGTAAAGGACAGGGAGCTGTAAAATTCCAGAGAAGGAATGGCCAAGAGGCCAATGTAGAAATGCCAGAAAAAAGAAGCCAAAGATGACAATGATTAGATTATCAGAGGCTTGAAGAGCACAGGCAGCAACTCTTCCTTTATGGTAGAGTTGCTGCTACTTCTCCAGGAATGGGAGTTCTCTGCAGGGGGGTGTTAGACCCCCTGGGAAAAGAACAAATGAAAAGGAGTCTAAACCCTCTGACTATGAGTTTTCCTTCTTACTGGATCAGTTTTCTTTTGACCATTTAGGACAATGCAAGCAAGATGGACCTTATGTGCAGCTAAGGAGAGTCCAGGCACTAAAAAATATTTGCTACGACCTCCAAAGAGCAGTGTATTTGGTGCTCTCATAACCGGCCCTCCCATGGCAGGGAAGAGAGCCTGGGACATTTACCCACCAATCCCAGGCCCCTGGAGGCCAAGGGAGACTCCAAAATGTAGCTCCCCCTTTGCTCCCCATTAGGTCTCCCTGTTCTGGCCACGCCCAAGAGAGCCTGGGTAGAGAAGAGAGCAAGGGGGGGCTAGGTGGGAAGAGCTCCCTGGAGAGAGGGAGCTGGCGTGGGCTGCTGCAGCACAGGGCCACAGACCGCTGGGTTAAGCCACAGTGTTCAGCCTGCCAGTCTGAGGCTGAGACTGAAGTCAGGGTCCCAGCGGTCTGGGTCCCACGGAGCCCTCTTGCAGACAAGCTGTCTTCTTGCTGTGTGCTCACTAGTTCTACCACCAGGGCCCCTCCCTCCTGATCTTATCTGAACCTAATTACTTCCCAATCGCCCCCTTTTCCATTCCTGTGACAGTGGGGGTGAGGGCTTCAACACATGAATTTAAGGAAGATGCAAACATTCATCCCAAATCAGATTGCCAGGTGCTTGTATTTAGAAAGTATCTCTCGCTCTCTCACTGGCATTTCTATGAGATGGTGGAATCAGGCTATCTTAGCTCTGGGGAGAAACTAAGATGCCCTCATTCAAGGTGCACAAATCCAAACTCTAAACAAGCTGTGTGAGAGGAGCAAGACCAAATCACACTGGTAAATGTCAGGTGGAACATATGGGTAGTGGGGTCCTTGGGGGATCTTGGGGCACCTGTATGCAACACTTCACCTGAAGATGAAGGGCTGGATTATTGCTGCATGAAATCCAGTCACTTCCCAGTTGAGGGCACCTCAGGGGAGTGGGGTGCCTGAATTCCTTAGCAGTTCTGGCCTTGTAGGTGCATGAGTCAAGGGTTTTTGAAGCTCTCAGGGCAGAGCTGCAGTTGACAACTGGAAGATGGCCCTGCAGATACTATAGGGCCTGAGGGGTTTTGGGGGGGGCCACCAACAGAGCACCCTCAATCCTCTAACTCTTTGTACATATGCAATGTTAGAACTGGTCACAGTTACCTTAATTTCCCACCGCAGTGCTTGGTACATAGCACGTGCCCAATAAATATTTGTTGACTGAACTTTGTCCATATGAACATCCATCTGTCAACGGGACAGAGGACAAGAACCGTGACATTCACCCAATGCAAGGATCGTGCTAGACATGGG